GTTGCATTTGTTCCACTTTTATAATGTAATGTTAGTTCAATAGAATTATCCAAGAAAAATTCAAAAGTATCTGGTTGAAGACCTCTAACAAATTCAAATGGAGTTGATGGTTCACCATTTATAATTTCTGTTGTAAATGTCATTGTATCTGGTTTCGAAAATTTCTTTGTTAGTTCTGTATCCACATAAGTTTTGTCGGCTTTACTGTCTAACATTGCTGGTAGTTCATGTGTTTCAAAGTTTCTGACATGACCTTCGATATTCATACATTTGTTATTTAAGGAGTTTAGTGTATCTTTTACGCTTGTACTTGGATTCTCTAAAGGTGCACTTGAACCAAGGGTATAGTTCAATATTATGTCGTCTGCTCTAACAGTTGAGAAGGAGTTATGTGTATGATTTTTGTCAGCTTTACTGTCTAATGTAGCTTGAAGTTCATTTATATCGGAGATGTTGTGTTTATGAGATTTCAAAACTTTGTTCATTGCTTCGAGTTCAACTTTGTCAGCTTTACTTTTAATAGCATCTTCAAACGTTATTTTTGACTTAACTCTCAAAGTAAATCTTGGTTCAACTAATACACCGTTAACATTGAAAGTAGAGGCATAAATTTCATCGTTATAACCAAATGCTTCTGGTGCTTTAGCTACATCATACTGTACAGTACAGCTTATGTCATAACCTTTAGCACGAATGTATTTATATCTTCTTTCATTAACATTTTTTGTCTTCACTTCATCACTTCGTGTTAAATATCCATGGTAGTCCGTTATAATCTGTTCGTCTGAAGTTATATAATGAACATGGTTTTTATCTGCTTTTTCGGCTAATTTCTCATTAACATCATTCACTTCTAATTCAACTCTTCCGCCAGAACTCTTATTATCATTAATCTTTTTCATTAATTCGGTAATTACGTCATAAAGACTATATTCTGTTTTCGGTTTTGTAAATAATGAGTCAAAATTTCTTTTCATCATTACATCGCTGACATTAATGATATCACCAATTCCTTTTTCATTTATTCTCTTCATTAATTCTGCAATAATGACGAATATATAATCTGTTAATTTATTCTCTTCATCGAGGGTTATAGAATGTTTTGAAATTGAATCATTAACTCCTCTAAATAAATCAATAACTTCAGGATACACGTTTTTAATGTCTTGAATAACCCGACCAGTATCCTCGCCACTATGTGGCTCTGAGCCCGTTGGGCTCTGTTGTTCATGTTCTTCGTTCCCGTCGTTACGTGGTTTTATATCTCTAACCATCATCAACGCAGCCATAACCGGAGGGTTTGTTGCTACCTGTTCGAAAATCCGTCCGTTATGTATGGTATATCTAAATAATTTCTTTGTGTTTGTTAAAACATTTGAAACAAGTCTTTTAAAACCATCTACAAAATTTCCTGTTTCACCTAATGTTCTTGCAGCATTTACAAGCTCACCCATTCCCGCTTTTGACCCCAAAAACGTCCATATTGCATTTATTTCACTCTGTATTGTTGTCCATTCAGCGAAACTAACACCCGCATTCGCTAAGCTGAAAATGAAACTCAGTGGATCGAACTTAATTCCACCTTCTTTTTCAATTTCAACGAACTCACTAACATGAGATTTTAAATATTCTTTCGTTAAAATTGTTTTCCCCGATGTTATGTCATTAACGAAACTATCACCGTCAAAAGTTAACGAATTCAATTTCGTCGTTGATGCTTTTATTTCATACACCGCTTTATCGATAGTTTTTGGCTCACCTTCTTTAGAAGCATATGAAACATTAATGAATGAATTATATGTATTCGTGAATGAGTTAAAATCAATGATTTTCATTAATGACGCCTTTAATGATTCATTAACTGTTGAATCCCTTAAAACAATTAATGAACTGTCCTTTATGAAAGGTACACTGCAAACCGTCGAGTTTGGATCAAATGCTGTAGTTGGTGCAGGAATATTAATGATATAAGTCATTAAATCATTAAGTGACGTAAATAATGTTGTCGTTTTTGATTTAATTTCTTTAGCATCTGTTATATATGGTAATTTTATTTCTGTAGTTTCTGAATTAAAGATATTCGCTAAAATGTTTTGTAAACTGTTTTGAACAGCAGTATAAACCGTTGAATCCGGAACTCTTACGATTTCACCATCCTTAATAAAAGGCATTGTACATGACGTAGTGCTTGGGTCAAATCTTTCGGGATTATAATTCAACATATATTCTAACGCTTCATGAACAGACTTATATACTGTTGTGTCGTTCTTCATGACAACTTCACCATTTACAATGAATGGCATTGTACATGGAGTTAAAATAGGGTCAAACTTTTCATAGTCCTTCCATGTTATGTATTTCTCGGTATTTCCATCAGAAATAACAATATATTTGTCAGTAAGTGTGAGAGAGTATTGACCAAAATATAAACGTTTAGCTCTGTCAGCTTCATACGCATATGCAGCAATACTCATATTTTAATGAGAATAAAATGTTGTTCTATTTGCAAAGTACAGACCCAAACGAATACGGGACAGTAAAGCTACAAACAAACTTAGGTCTACAGAATGAGCCACTTGCATTCAGAGTTGTTGACTTCAATACTATCGCTTCATTCGTTATAACAGATGAAACAGATTTCATGGAGCTTGAAATAGATGGAAAGAAGCATGAAATAAGATTTCACAATAATGTAGAATATAAGATGGAAACATTAGCTGGAGTGTTAAATGCGCTCATAAATACTACAATAAACAAGGAGAACGAAGAAAACTTAATGAATGTTAAACTTATTGCAGGAGTTTTGAAGTTCAGTTATGCGAAGGAGTTTAAGATAACACGAATGAGTCATAGAGTTCAATTGCTTCTGGGAGCATACCATATGACATTTCCTTTGAAAAGTGTTGACAAAACGATTGAGATGAAATCTGTTCCATACGTATGTTATGGTAATTGTTTATACGTTGAGTCAAAAATAGCTAATGTCACAGGTATTTCAGGAGTTAATAGTAAAGGTTCAGTAGAATATAAATCCTTCTGTTATGCAGTCAATTCAATGTTCATTCCAAACGTTCCTGTCATAGCAACTCATTTAGGTAAATGGGTTCGCATTAGTCCTCATAATTTGAAAGACATGCAATTCAGACTTGTTGACTTTCAGGGCGAGCCTGTAGAACTGAAGGCACCAGTGCGAATGACTGTTGAAGTTGACTTTTTAGAAAATATTAAATGCAACAGCTTACAAGAGAACTCAGAGCTAAAAATATAAAGTATGAATGTTATGTATTAGGTCATGAACTTTGGTTATTGCTGTTTGATGAAACAAATGAGTTAGTTATGTCAGTCAAGAGAACAGAAAAAGGCGTCAAAGGCGCCGAGCGCAAAGCGCTATATTGTGTTAGTGAAAACTGCACCAAGTCAATAAGATTAGGTTTGCATTATGAAGATGAGTTCGATACTGTTGAAGAAGTTTTGGATAGATACTATAAGTTGCTTTAATTTACTAAAACATATTTCAAACATAATTTATATTCTGTTGAAAGTTTTGTATATTCATTCGAATATTTATACTTAAACTCAACTCCTGGAGTACCTGGTATTTCAATGATGCGGATGTTACCTATTTTCATGAATGGTGGCGTTTGACCACAGCATTCGATTTCAGGGTCGAGATAGTCAATGACACATTGTTTCCCTGTTATTCGTGATATAACATTTTCAAGGTCCTCCTTTGTTAGAATTATTTGGTTCTTACTTATAAGATTTATCAAAAGCTTCTTATCGTCTTTGAGTAAAATTGTTTGGTATAACTGAAGAAGGTAATGGTCTACGTTATCTGAAGGATTTGTTTGAACATTTGTGTAAGGGTTGTCGTTGGCTTCTCTTGAAAGAATTTGGTCCAGTGGTGGATACTCTAACTTAACATCTGATGTAGCGTTAGCGTTTGAAGCTGAGTTTAAATTCACGGATTTCAGTTCTGGTTCTTTTTCTTTCAAACACTCTGAACTATAGTTCTTTATGACAATATTGTTTGTCGTTCGTGAGTCAACATTTGATGTTGGTTCAATTGGAACATTAACGGCACCAGCTAAGATGGATTTGCTTCTCATTTCATATAGAATAAAAAACCTTTTATATGTATGAAATGAACAATATACTCGACAAGGGTTTGAATGTAAAGCTAACGAATGAAAATATTGTTGAATTCACTGAGACAGGTGCAGTGTATAAAGATGTAGAACTACTGAACAAAAGAGCTAAGGGAAGAAGCAGGAACATGAACAAAGGGTGGAAGCCTATAAAATTTATTCAATGATGGCTCAGGAGGTTCAAAACATAAAGTATGCAGAAAGTTATAGAGTTTATGCTCTCAAAGGTGAAAAGCCTTCATTTAAGAACAGCTATTCTAACGCATATCCTCAAAAGTTAACGGATGGGGAAGTGGATGATATGAATGACAGCAAAAATATTAACAGAAATGGCGACAGAGATGCATGGAATTTGTTTACCATCAGTCAATTGAAGGTTAAACTTTAAAACAATGTTGGTCGTTCCCATGGAATATTTTTGACTTTAATGGTATTAGTCATGATATGAATCTCAAGGTATGAACGAGGAAGAGATGAGAGACTTATATGCTTCCCAAATTTCTTCAAAAGGTAATGTTATACCTGACTGTTTCCAAATGAGTTCAATATCATAGCGTGAGAAACCTTGAAAGATAAACGAAGTCAGTTATGAGACGTTTTATGTTTAAAGCAAGAAAACGCCATGTTTGCATAAGTATTGCTACAGTTAAGTGGTAATGTCTGACTTTAGTAATGATGTTAGCTAATGGTGAGTCAGGCTTTGACACTAAACCTTTTCCGGCGAAGTCGTCGCAAACGAGCAGAGTATTTGAAGGATACTTTTTGAAGGGGTATTTTGAAAGTTTTGACAGAATGTAGTTTGTAAGTCGTTTCATATCGTAAACTCCTGAGTACTGACGTAAGTGGTGTTTGTCAATAATTCTTTCCATCTCCTCAGAAGTCTTTTGCATTCCTGACTGTATAAATTCAACGATGGCATAATATTTCCTCTTACGTCGAATGTAACGTTGAAGAAATTCAATGAGTTCGCTATCTGGAACTTTAACGACAGAGGCTTGAACTTTTGACATAAATGTTTTCGCTGTTGAGTCCATAGAGTCTGAAGTTGCTGATATAATGATTTGGTCATAATATGAATTCGCTCCTTCGGAGCTCAACACGCCTTTAGCGTGTTCTTGACCTAAACGCTCTGTTATGAGTATATGACGAATGAGGTTAAATGTCTTACCTGACCCCATCTTTCCACAATAGAAATAAACACCATTTGAACAGAACTCATAGTCCTTACTGAAAGGAAGAATGAGAGAACTGTTGAGCTTTTCACTGCTTTCATTCATGTCTTCATCTACGTCATGTATTAAATGCTTCATTTTATCTCCATTAAAAATGCAAGTCAGAAATATTCAGAACATAGCACCGAGTCTAACTGACAAGAGTATAAAGATATACTATGAACACGTTATGATGAAACCAACCAAAATTCAAGAAAGTCAGTATACTTATGAATATCCAAGACACTGGGTAGAGTATGTAGGAGGTGAGAAAGCTATTGAAATCAGACAGGTTCGAAGTATTCCAGCAGGAAGAACAATATTATTGAAGAACTTTAATGTTTTGAGGTATAATGATGAAACAAAGAAGCAAGATAGTTTTCCCATTGCTGTGTATGTGAACCTAGACACAGGAGATGACATGAAAGTTTTTAACACAAAGCTTCAAACGGTACTGAGAGAACAACTGACTGCGGAAGGACACCCATTACCTTCAGAAGTTACCATAGTATATAATTTTGAAACAAACTCAATAGATTTTAAAGTCATCTCTGCAAAGAAGTCAGGATTTACATTTAATGAAGCAGATGTATATTCGAATGAAAACTTCAAAGCTATTGCATGGTTAGATAATGACGATTGCTTTAAGAAAATATTTAAATTCAGTGACTCAACGATGTCAATAGATGACCTTCGTGGAATGTTACCATCGATGTTTACAGTAGAAGGTTCAGCAGGATTGCTTACAAGATTGTCAATTGGTGGTATTTGGTCTCGTGAGAACATTGTTATAAAATCCAGTATAAGTGAATTTGCTGAAGAATCTATATTATGTCTTTCAAACTACATGTATTCGCCACCGAAGCATTATAGTATAACAAACTTTGTCAGTAAGTTTAACATAAGACTTGTCGAACCTTCTTCAATGAAAGATGTTGTGCTACCTAAAGATGGAAAGGATGGACTCATTATTGAGATGATTTTAATTGCATATTAAATGAGCTTGTTCTTGAAGGTCAGTCATGATGAAATAACTGTTGTAGAAGATGTTAGCAATTGTTCAGACATTTTGAAGCGAATAGATGAGATAAGAAAGAAGTTAGATAGACCGCAAAGCGGTGAGGGCGAAGCCCGTGAGAATGTTTATGTTTCATTGACTTTCTCCAGTAACGAGAACTTTTATGAATAATATTGAAGAGAGATGATTTTAATATGGGTGTAAATGGTAGCTTGGGCAGCTTTAGGCGCAATGGGAACAAAAGCATTAGCATTTGGAGCAAAAGCACTTGGAGCTTATGACGCAGTAAATAAAATGAGTGAGGAAGGGTTTCGAAGACATTAGATGCAAATAAAGGGAAGATTGGAGGCTGGGTTGCAAAGAAGTTAAGATTAAATAAAATAGGGCTCATAAATAAAGCATCCAATTTGGTTGCGACTGAGTCGGAAAATGCTTTAGGAAAGGACGATGAGTTTGCAAAACATGCAAAAGACTTTAATGACCAGATGAAAGGTGAAACAATGCATTTAAATAGAGTCGATGGAACTCTTCCTCCACCAGCAGTTCTTCCGTATGGTCCCTATGGAATGTATGGAAACCCTTACGAAAGACCATTTGACCCATTGACTGGTGGAAGTAACTGGTATCATTACGGACGAAGAAGAAAGACAGTCAAGTTGGAGACAGACGTGAAGAAAGCAACTAAAAAGAAACCAAGGAAGAGAGTTATAAAGCAATGAATTCATGAGGTGAAAAAAGAGGTGAAAAAAGAGGTGAGATTTCACCACTTCACCTAAATTTATTTTTGCGCTATGTTTTCATACGTGTGAGGGTGGTGATATCATTAATTTTAAGTTTATTTTTTTATTTTATTTTTTTATTTTATTTTTTATTTTATTTTTATATAAATGACGAAAACTATTGAGATAACAAACTACAACGGTCATGAGTTCAAGAATTTGTTCTTCGTTCCTCGTGAAAATACATTCTATCAGATACGAGGGAGAAAGGGTAAAGTTAGTTTGAGCGTTTATGAAGGAATGAAGAATGGAAAGTTTATACAAGCATACGATACAAACGGTAAACGTGTTTCATTAGCTTTGTCAAAACTTACTAACATTTATTTTGACAGTGACTTTGACTCTGACGATTGGAGCGACAGCAGCGATACTGAAGAATATGAACTATTGTGTGAAGCACAGCAATGGGAAGAGTTGCAATACTTTTGTAAGTGAGAACGTTTATTTTTACAGTAGTGAGTTCGTTAGTGAAAACGTTTATTTTTTCATTAGTGAGGTGAAGTGGTTGGCGGTTTTATAAATATTTAAGGTTAAGTTAGTGTTGTCGTTTGTGTTGTAAAATATACGTTAACGGTTTCATAAAGTGTCAAATTCACATATCAGGGGTAAGGTGGCGCGCAGTGCCTCCGTACACTTGATATGTATACTAACTATCATATTTTTACTATTTTATTTTTAAATCCATCATAAAGTAATATAAATTTAAAAATCATAAAATGATGTTACCTCATAGGAGGCTTGAGTTATTATATTAACTTTTACATATAAGCAAAAATGTTTCATAATTATTACAGAAAACTGTAAAAAATGAATAGAATAAATAAATTATCTTTATAATTTTTATGATTTATTGCTTTCCAAAATACTGTGTAAGGTGAGCTTCATAATTCTTAATGTAAGAATCGAAGTCTGGGTTCTTGATAACATCATTGCATTGGAATGATGGAATTTGCTTCATTCCACAGAATTCATGGGATCTAATAATTGGGCCATGAACACTATCTGCTCCTAATCCTTTGAAGAACTGATTTGGATCTGTTAATGATTCAACAGGAGCATTCCATGTGAATGAAAGCATGAACTTCTTGTTGGGGCAGAGGCCGCCATCACCGTACTTCTTTGATGGATCCTTTCTTGAGCGGCCATCACCAGACCAAATTGTACCATGAGCAACGAAGAAAACTTCATCAAGATATAGGGTGTCCAAAGGTGTGTTTAGCACAAACCTGAATACTGCGAATAGAAATAAACAAGTTAGATATATATAAAGTTTATTTAAATATAATCACCATTGGATTCAATCACGCGTTCGCAGCGATCGATCCAGGCTTCAAAGACACGCTTTAAATCATCATGAGAAAATTGCTCAAATTGCTCTCTTACAAAATTTTCAAGATCATCTGGACTCGCGAATTCGCGTCCTTCAGCTCTCTTTTTTAGCGTGCCGAATAAATAAAAGTCAGAGGGTGCAATATCAGGTGAATAAATTGGGTTTGGAACAACTTTGACATTGTTTTCCAACAAGTAATTCATTACCTTATGACTTTTGTGAACTCTTGAATTATCAAAATGAATTGCAAACTTTTGTTTTTGTTGTTTGGATTTCTCAAACTCATCAGAATTGATAATTTGAGTAAGAACATTGTCAATTAGATACTGAGCATTCATCGTATTAGGTTTTTGAAGAATATCAATTGCGATGATGCCATTCACACCCCAAAAAAACCGACAACATCATCATTGGCTGTGTCAATTTTTTTCTTCGGGAATGTTTGCGGATTTTCATCTTCGGGATCCACATGATTTTGGCTTCTGTTGCATATTGAAACCAAGACTCGTCCCCTGTTACTAAAAAGCGAAACTTCTTGGATTGATACGCACCCAATATAGAGAGGAGCTCTTTCGAAGATTGGACTCTAGATTTTTTTTGAACTGAATTAAGGTTGTGCGGAACCAACGTGTATACGCTAGTTTTGTAGTTCAAATAATTGTGCAGATAATAACTGACTGTTGTACGTGGTATCGTTGTCATCTCCTCTATCCTTCTGAGTGATGCTCTTGGGTCTTCATCTAGCGCTTGAAGAATTGCTTTGATTTTTCTTTGATCCGGCGATTTTTTGTCAATTTTTATGATGGGCGCCTTTTTGTTCATGAAGTGATACATCCTAACATGATACGTTACAGTGGAATAGCTAGGAGCATCCATACCGAAGCATTTTACCAATGTCTCGTAGATTTTTTTACAGTCTTTGCATTTTTTTGCAAGAGCGAGGATGTTTTCTTTATGATTCATTAAAAAAATGAAAAAAAATCCCGCCAAAATTTCCCGCGAAACCGCCTCTTGTCTCAAAATTCATTTTATATCCCGGCATGGCGCCAAAATACAACATACTCATCATATACATATATTCATATTTTTTATTATATATTTATAATCAGCATATATCTCCTTTAATAGTCTCATATAGAGCGCTGTGCTAAACGCACCTTTGGACACCCTATATTTCTTGACATGCCATGGTGTTCCAAACCACCAGATTGGGAACTGCCAAAGGAGAACATCTGTCCAGACAATCTTCTTTACTTCTTCTTCGCAGTTGTAATTTGAATCTGCTTTTGTAACTTGAACTTCATGTCCCTTTTCTTTGAGAGATTTTACTGCGTACTCAACAAGAGCTTCATTAAGCTTGCCCTTGGAAGAAATGAATTCCTTTGCACCATCAATGATCAAGATCTTCATTGAGTTTTAGTGAAAAATGAAGTCGAATTTTTTCAGTATTCAGATGTATTCAAAATAACCGTCGGCCAATCGTTATTTGATAATTATTTTTCATTATTTCAGGAAGGAAATTTATTATACTGAAAGATAAATTTTAAATTATCGGGATACAAAATTTTCTTAGAAAACTTTGAAAATAACCTCACCATTTCAGTACAATTGAATTGACCAATCTCACTATAGTTGTAATAAACAGAAATTCATCAAAAGTGACAGCTCTCAATTTTTTGACATTTGTAAATTCTAAATTGAATGAGAAAAATGAAATAATACTAAGCATAATACAATATTCTAGATTTAATTATAATTAGGAAAAAGTTAGTTTTGAGAGTACTTTTCATAGGCATATAGAATGAAATCTTCTGAAAAATAATATCACATAAACTCATATTATTTTCTAATATATAACTATTTTATATAAAAATCAAATTCAATGATCTTAAAAGCGAATGATAAACCTCAAAATTTACGAATATAATGAGTGGGAATATAATGCTTATCTATCATAAAACCATATGAAATATCAATTTTTGCTTTACGCCTAATTTTTGACGACAATTAGCAAAAAATGTTAAATGTTAACACTCAGTCCATTTGAATATGAAAAATAAAATTGACTTTGATTAAATGTTTTTATTTATCATGCAATTCTTCTTGCGACCAAAGATTTGAATAAAATTTCAAAAAATAAGATAGCTTTAAAAAATAATATACGGTAGTGTTTACTAATAGATGAATAGTATATAAATTCTATTAAAATGGATTTGATCCAAAAAAATATATAAAATTTGATCATAAATAAAATCGTTTTAAATTACTTCTTCATTTAAATTATAACAATTATTTTTGGTTTTATATTTTTTTGGATCAAATCCATTTTAATAGAATTTATATACTATTCATCTATTAGTAAACACTACCGTATATTATTTTTTAAGCTATCTTATTTTTTGAAATTTTATTCAAATCTTTGGTCGCAAGAAGAATTGCATGATAAATAAAAACATTTAATCAAAGTCAATTTTATTTTTCATATTCAAATGGACTGAGTGTTAACATTTAACATTTTTTGCTAATTGTCGTCAAAAAATTAGGCGTAAAGCAAAAATTGATATTTCATATGGTTTTATGATAGATAAGCATTATATTCCCACTCATTATATTCGTAAATTTTGAGGTTTATCATTCGCTTTTAAGATCATTGAATTTGATTTTTATATAAAATAGTTATATATTAGAAAATAATATGAGTTTATGTGATATTATTTTTCAGAAGATTTTGTGTTCTTCTTCAAAATTTTATTTTTTTATTAAAAAGAATTTTTACAAAATATACATTTACTTGAATTAATATTTAAAAACGTGCTCTATCAAAAGTTCCAAAAATTCAATATTTTAGCTTTTCTGAGGTGTCACTTTTGATGAATTTCTGTTTACAACATAGTCCGCGCAAAAACACTCCTTGTATCATAACAATATATAATATAAAAGAGTAATGCTAACAAATTTTTTTCTGTTGGTTTTGTCAAGTTTCTTGTCAAAACTATTCGTTAAATTTTTTAATGGAATTTAATGGGTAATGACAGTTACCTTGAAAATAGCAATATCAAATAAGGCATTTAATATAGTTCTATGAAAACGATGTATTAAGCCATCTTTTAATTTATCATTAAGGATACCCTTACGTGTCAGATTTTTTGCGCATACGAAGAAGTCATGCTAGACATGAGCTATAAACCTGAAATTTTAGCAACATATTTAAAACTTTTTAAACTACAATACACTTTAATATTCAAGAACAAAAATATTCTTTTTAGAAATTACATAATTATTTGAGAGGTTATCGATTTTGTAATTTAATCGTCGTCGTTATCGATTTTGTAATTTAATCGTTATCGTCTTTTTCTAAACGTGCATTTTTACATTAAAAGCAATGCAACTCCAAAATTAATTGGTATTTAGACTTTAATTAGGTGCAGACAAACGAAATGCAGTCCAAATATTTTGGTGATATATGAATTACATAAATTTAGGGAAATTGAAATTATATCTTTTTAAATTTTTAGGAAAACAGATTTATAGAATTGTTTAAGTCATCAAAATAATGCAGACTTAGGTCAAATTTTCCAAATTTAATCATTTGCAAGACTTTCAAGCGACTTCAAAATGTCGAAATATAAGTCCAAAAATAAAATTACGATTACAGTCTATCCTCAATTATTATCACGCTAATTATTGAGTGACCCATGCGTTCGTATGTATGTAATACCTTTTAAAAAGGAGATGAGAGAGATAAACTACATTTACAATTTAAATCTGATGTATTTACTTGTTACATTTACAAATGTAAATGTTTCTCGTAATGTTTACATTTTGTAAGTATAACGAATAAAAATGACGCACTTTTTTTACAAAGTCAAATTATGCGATACAACTTTACTTGTTACATTTACAAATGTAAATGTTTCTCGTAATGTTTACATTTTGTAAGTATAACGAATAAAAATGACGCACTTTTTTTACAAAGTCAAATTATGCGATACAACTTTACTTGTTACATTTACAAATGTAAATGTTTCTCGTAATGTTTACATTTTGTAAGTATAACGAATAAAAATGACGCACTTTTTTTACAAAGTCAAATTATTGTTCGATTTTTGCAGCTTGTAAACGATTAATTGTATAAAGCAATTGATATTAGCACGACATAACTGAATAATTCTAATATTGAAATCAAAAGCCCTTAAAATATCATGATATTTTAATTTCATAACAAATCTAGGAGACTATTTGATGAAAACATATCCGATGTGGGTTTTGTTGTATTATATAACTTGTTATTGACTTCTTAGCTTTCCAAATTTTTTTCGATAATGAGAAAACGAATGAAAAATCAACATTTGGTCCATTTAAAATTTGATTTGTTTACATTTTTTTTACTTTTTGAATTTCAATTTATATTTTCCTCAAGAAATACTTTAGATTTTAAGAAACTAAATCATATAATCTACTAAGAAAATATATTAAATCCTATAATACTCAAAGTTTTGTGATAAATCGATCTTTTTTATTTTACTTTTATTATGTTTTTGCAAACTTAAGGTCTCACTAGGTAAAACATAATACTCTTTGAAGTTAAGTATTTTCACAAAGAGAGGACCAACAATATCAAAAGATTGAATAAAGATTTGTATTATTTTATTTATTTTTAAGAACATGTTTAAGAACCCTCATTATCTCCACGAATATTGCATATTTTTCTATTCTAAGACCACCAAAATTACGTTTTAATATAGAAAATAACATATTTATGTGATGCTAAAGTCGAAGTCCTTAATATTTTTGAAATATTTACAAAATATGCTCTTTCTATCATCGATACTTTAATACAGAGCAAATTTAGTAAATGTCATCACATTATTTTTTCATAAATCGTTTTCGAACTTTTGAAATATTTATTTTAAACCAGTTTTCTACATTTAATATGTGAATTATATCAAAAGTAGATGGGCGATACTTGTAAATCTATTTAAACTATTAGTTTGCTATTATTGAAGAACTTTATAATTTTTTTTTCTTATGTATGGAATTAAAGATAATTTTGCCGATTCCAACTGGTTTTTCTATATGAGTTAAATATGCCAAGTGAAATTGGACTTGCCAATATTGTAAATTGAAGTATGGACTATATATCGATTTTCATTGATTGATGAATAACTCGGAGTAATGTAATTGTTGATAATGAAAAATAGTTTTCAATTGCTGGTAAGGGCCAATGTATGTTCAATAGCTCCGAAAGCAAAAAATGCACGTTTAGAAAAAGACGATAACGATTAAATTACAAAATCGATAACGACGACGATTAAATTACAAAATCAATAATGACCCTAATTATTTTATGTGAAATCTATATAAAAACATATTTTGCGAGCGTAACTTTTTTCTTTATAAGCACCTTATATGACTGATAAACTGTGAAGGCACATAATTGTTAATTCATAGAGTTGATATGTTTCCAAAATTGAGAGGAAATTTGAAAATTGAATACCCTTTCAATTCAATTTTCAAAAGATATCAGCTCCTTCAATAATTGAAGGACGATTTTGATCATTTGCTCTTAAAACAAGTATGCCATGGAGAAAAAAGTTACGCTCGCAAATCTGAAATATAACTATCATATAAAAAATTAAATTTCTAATTTTTTACTCTATAGATATTATTGGCCACTTGTGTAATGCATAAAAGTTTATGTCATATGCATACATTTGGAAGTATGGGAGACGAGGGAAATTACTTCTATGAGGCACTAGGATTTTTTAAAAATTTCTCTATCGGACTCACCATTCAATTTCTCGAAAATTAAAAAAAAAAATCAATAATAGCTAAAATGTATTATGCATAACAAATTTTAATGTTACACGGTATTTTTTGAACTTCATGACATGAATTTTCTTTTATTATTTTTTTTTGGATTTTCTATGATTTATGCGATAGGCTGGAACAACATTGTAAGTGCAATATATCATTTATAGAGAAATCTAAAACTTCAGCATTCAGAACTCGCAACCACAAAATATTCATTTGCTAAGTAAGTAAAGTTGATTAAGTTCGACACTTAGCTTTTATACGTAAAACCAAGTGTGTATTGTTATTTCTTGTTAAATTATTGAAAAAAAATAAATTGTAAGAGAAACGATACTGATTATTGAAATAATATTGAGGGTAGCTGCAGATTTCTTCATTAACATACCGGAAATTTGTTAATCTTGGTTTTCTATCATAAAATCTGTCGAAGAACTCTAAAAACGGAGATATGAAATAGAGATCATGTAAATCTAGAGTATCCTGTCAGAAAAATAGACTAAGCATGTAACCCTTTTTTGGTAAAACACTTTTTACCACTTAGTCATACAGATGATCATTAAATTTAAACGAGCACTTTTTGTCAGAATTTATTCTTTACAAAGACAGAAGATTTTAGTATTATTTAATATTAGTGCTGTAGCAAAATTCAAAAAACGTGAAAATTCAGTGAATTTGTGAATTCACATTTTTTTTCGACATTTTTCTTGATATATCCATGCACATTAAGAACACAGCTTTGATACGCTTAAAAAAGCATATTTCATATGAAATTGTTAAAGAAATAAACAATTTATATTAAAAATTGCACTTATGGCAGTTTAGATATATAATTTATATATAACATATATACAAATCCATAGACAAAGTGCAATAACTACAATGTTGTAGAAAATTACAGCAGAATACTGACTTTTGAAGGATAATAAGAATTCTTCTAAATGTTGTATTTTTATAATTTGATTGATTTTTTTTACTCATTAATCTTTTATGAATAATAATATTTTAATATATGTGCTATTAAAATTTCAAATTTTGACTAATATATCTAAGTTATCTGAACGAAACATTTAGAAAATATCATACTTACATTGAAATAACAAGTAGAGCATATTAATAGCAAGTTTCTTGGCTTTATATCTATCATCTATTGTTGTTTGATCAAACAAAATTCACTCTATTATATGGTGTCAATTAATTAAAACAATTTTTAATAGTTATTTATTTAGTGCGAATAAGTGCAAACTCATAAATGAATAACTTAATAGTAGAAATGAATTATCTGATATAAATCTCACATTTTGTCCATCAGAAATACTTTAATTGCATACGCATAACTATTAGTAATACGTCTGGAGTGTCAATTAATAACAATCCCACAACAAGTAAAATTCAGATTTTTATTAAACTTATTTTTTCCTAAAAGTTTTCTCAAATTACTATATATACATATGTGGATAAAATAATAGTAATATTGTAAAAAATTAGATAATTTTTTTTATTTGAGAACCTCTCAAAAGTTCATTCAATTTATCAATTGTTTCAGTTTGATGTATATTCATTTCTGGAGCCTAAAACTTTAGCAATCATGACAATATCATATTTTCTTTCTAACTACGCAATGTAAGGGTATCCTTAACAAAAAATTTGATTTCGAGAAACTGATTTAAGAAAATTAGATTAATGCATATCAAAAATAATTGATTTTTTCTATTAATAACTTCATAATGAATATATGGAATCAATATTTTCCCAATCAAAATTTCGAATTCAATAATCTTTACAAAAAACAAAATAATTCCATTTAAATGAGTATTACATTAAAACATCATTATATCATTTCATGACGGGTTTAATATTAGAAAAATCAATTGAATATGATTTTAATCAATGTAGATTTTTTTGTATTTTGATGAAGATCTAATTGTTCTAATGCTTAATCAAAAGATCATTAAATTTTATTATATTTTTTGCTTCTTGTAAACTTCTCAAATTTGATGCATTTTGAAATTTTTATTGTTTAATGGAAGAAGAAGATGTCGGCGAGAATTTTTCACTAGATATTGCAAGTAGTGATCTTTCCAAGTGCTTTACAGATGAATTGCCTAGTCTACAATTAACTCCTGTAACTGATAACATAGATACATTTACAAAATCAGATAATTTCCCAAATGCCTGGTTTGGAAATCTTACAGTTCAAAAATTATATAAACCTACATTCCCTGGTTCGGAAGCTAACACAAATGCTTTAGCAGTGGTTAGAATGATATGCATTATTAACATTTTAGAGAAATACAATGAACTAAAGAAAAGTGTCATATGTAATTTCAAGAAAAAGATGGAAATAATGAAATATGATAAACAAATTGATCGAAATACTGCCCAGAAGGAAGTTGATGATTGTGTTAACTGCCTAAATCATATCGCAAAATCTGCTGAAAATCAAATAGAAAACATTTTACACTCAACAAAAAACAAAGCTGATGATTCATTGAACCTTAATAAACTTGATATTGAGAAAGAAAGAGAAGTTTGTAAGATCATATTTGGTACAGATATCAAATCAAAACTTCCTCATGGCATAGTCGATAATCTTTGCAAGAAAATTCAAAAAGACAAAATAAAGATTCAAAGACTGATTGCTCAAAGACGATATTTCTTAAAAGAGAAATATGCAAAAGGTGATGGGTCTAGACCAAAATGGGTTCCAAAAGAAATCACAGATCAAATGTTATTAGAATTTTCTCAAGGAACAAGAAATGCAATTAATATTGGATCTAGTGAACCAAATACACAAGATGTTATCCTAACATTTTATCAATTGCCATTGTTTTAAAATAATATTACTTATTTTACCAATCAATTATAAGAATAAAATAATAATCAAAATTATTTGCGTTTAAAAGTATAGTTGGTATGAATTTGGAAGGAATTTCAAATTTATATTCCAATAAAAAGAAGGAAGTTAAAAAAAATTGGTAATTACGAAAACGCAATTGATTTATACAAACAAAGAAATGATAATTGAATTGATATCAGAAGTTAACGAATGAAAGTCAATGAACTAGGAATTCCGCAATAATCCATGATAGAAGCTGTATTTGATATTAAACCAACTGGTTGCAATGGTCTAGAAATATCTATTTCTTCCTGATCTTTGATAATATTATCAGGGTTTGGTTCTTCAGGTTCGACTTCTATATTAAGATTATTGTAATACGGCATCTGATCTGTAGAACTTCCCCAATGAATAACACGTGGTTGATTAGATTCTACTTGTTTTCGAAGATTTTTGATTTCGTTAGTTGTTGGGAGGCGAGATTGAGGCCTTGAGGGAGATCTTCCAAATGATTTGAAAGGTTGTTTTGTCATTACTGACTTCGGACGACGTGCAGAAGTTGGGCAAGATTTTGGAATTGATTCGATATCAAGAGAAACGACGTTTTTAGGTGCAAACCTTAATCCTGTTTGTTTTGGTACTAATTTTTTAGCATGATTACGTGTTGTTTTTGGAAGAGTAAATACTTCAGGTAAATCTCCGATTTCGCTAACGTAATGAATAGGAGTCATAGGTCTACTTACTTCTGTTTCAAATAGGCCGCCATGGTGCATATTAATTTCGGGAGTTATGCAGCCTCTCATCGGATAAAAATTTTTTTAACGGATATTTTTCTGATGTTTACGTAGATTTTATGGAAAATCTAACTTGTCTCGGAAAAATTTTATAGCTGTCTCTAACTCGAACTTAAGTGAATGGTTGGAATACTCAATGCAATTACTTTTACCTGAATTCATACATATATTGTTCAATTTGTATTCAATTCTCGATTTTATACAGACAATACAGAACGTTGAACTAGATACATACTATTTAAAGTTACAGCACATTAACAGAAAGTATTTTTACCAGAGCATTACCTTTTATTTAACATTTCGATTACTTTAATATTGCAATATTTGATGCTGCTTGAAAAAAATCTTTCTACGTGTTTATGCCTATGATGAATCATAGATGTAAATATATGATTACCAAGTCTATTTAAAAATTTTTATTTTTTTGACATTCGTTTTGTTTCTCTTACTTTCCAAGATGTTGTTCGTTCTGAAATTTTACAATATCCCAAATAGAGATTCAATTAAAGAATATTTGTAATAAAAAATAAAAAATTAAGTAAATCAAGAACTGAAGATCTTTAAAATAAGAAATAAAAATGATTTTTAGTAATTGGAATAGTACAATTTAATCGCATTTCATAATAAGATCTAAGATGAGACCGAAACCTAAAGTAGAGAGCAATGCAACATTTGGAACAAATGAGCCTCTGCAATTGATATTATCATCACCCCAAATAACTGCATTTGTGCAATAATACTTTCCTTTGACCTTAATTGCTAGAGAAATGGCAAATCCGAGAACTGCTAAGCAAATACCCATTGCTGCCCAGAAGAAAATAATTCCAAGACATTTGCAGCATTCAAAATTCCAGAAAATGAACAAAACAACCCACGCAGCACAGCCAGCCATGCAGAAGAAACAGCAAGAGGCAACAATATTGAAAAGTTCTGTGTATGTCTTGGTTCTCAAGTCTTTGCTAACTTGGTTTAGGTTCTTTGCCCATCTGATGTACCAAACTGTGAGGCCTGCAAGACCAACAACAGTTGCCAAGAAGGCAATGACACCTAATACGCGTTTAATAATAGACTTCTTTTTGAAGAAATCATTCAATCTGCAACCAAGTCTGAAGAAATGATGTGAATTTTATAACTTTTTATGATTGTTCAGAATTGAGATAGTATTCAATTTTGGCTGCTGAGCCATTATTGTGTTATTCAATATACTAAACCAAATCATAGTAGAATTATTTTACAGAACATTTTACAGTTTATGAAAGTTTCAATATTTTTACACAGTGGAATCAAATTTATATCAATATGTAGCGATGGTTATATAGAACGAAATCATTTCTCACAAAAATTGTGTGATGATAAAAAACAATTGAGAAGAAATAAAGTCCAATTCAAACATATCTGAATTATCAATCATGAAATATCTTCGATTGTTGCATGCTAAGTAGTGTCAACGATAGAAATTGAGAGCCTATTAATCGTCGAGGAAGTACGATTATTTTTGGGCGACAAAGTATCTTAAAATATGATTATTAATATGTTTTTAAAATAAAAAATTTGAAAGTTAATTTGAGATTCTCATATAATTTTTTGAATGAAAAAATAAATATAGTCTATATGAGTTTTTGAATAATCACACTTGAGATATATCTAAAAAATAATTAAAAATAGAGTTTGAGAAGACTTTTCAAGGTGTAATGAAAAGTGTGATATAGAAAATAATTATAGATATTTTAATTTTATATATTGTGCTAAGCATTATATTAAATTTTTAGGAAAAACACTTTTCATAAGTATTCAATATTTGAAAATACGCTCCAAAAAAGAATAGATTCTTATATTGCTTATATAAAAGGAACTCTCTATCAGATGCGAATGCCTGAATTCAGCACCTCTGATAGAGAGTTTCCTCTTATATAAGCAAATCTTTTTCATTCGTTTTTGTTAATATAAAAACATCAAAATCTACCAATATGAGAAATTAAACCCTGCGAGGCACCAGTCTAGAACTGGCACTTCGCAGGGTTGAATTTCTCTTGACAAAATACAATAATCAAATGCTCCAAAGTTTTCAAATTTTTATTAGGAATAGGAGCCTACAAAGCACTGATTATATATCAGTGCCTGGTAGGCTCCTATTCCTTCTCTGAAGCTGGGAAATTTTGTCTGAATAGTTTAACATTTGGACAAAATTTCCCAGCTTCAGAGAAGGAATTGGAGGGTGAGAGGCATATAGGCATACTATATACCTCTCACCCTTCAATTCCATCGGGAAAGTTCGAAAACTCGGTCGCAATCAGATGCAATTGCGACCGAGTTTTCGAACTTTCTATTAGGAATAGGAGCCTACAAAGCACTGATTATATATCAGTGCCTGGTAGGCTCCTATTCCTTCTCTAAATGGGAGAAACTTTGTTTTGAATAAGATAACATGCGAACAAAGTTTCTCCCATTTAGAGTGGGATTTGGAGGGTGGGAGGTACATAGATAGACTATGTATCTCTCACCCTCCAATTCCCTCGGGAAAGTTCGAAAACTTTGGTGCAATCAGCAACGATTGCACCAAAGTTTTTGCGTTTAATTGAAGGAATTGCTCTTTATGATATATACAGTTACAATGCATATATCATAAGGAGCAATTCCTTCCAGATATCTGGCAAACTTGCTCGCAATGGTTCACAATTGCGAACAAGTTTTGTCATTTGTCAAGAGAAATTAAACCCTGCGAAGCGCCAGTTCTAGACTGGCACCTCGCATGGTTTAATTTCTCATATTAGAAGCTTTTTATGTTTTTATATTAACAATAACTCATGAAAAAGATCCGCTTATATAAGAGGAAACTCTCTATCAGAGGTGCTGAATTCATGCATTCGCATCTGATAGAGAGTTTCCTTTTATATAAGCAAATATAAGAGAATCTATTCTTTTTTGGAGCGTATTTTCAAATATTGAATACTTATGAAAAGTGTTTTTTTCTAAAAATCTCAGAATATATTTACAATAGTAAAATAAATAAGATATTTAAATTTATTTTTAAATGCTTTTTTTTATATGAGATTCTCAAAAGTTATATCAAAAGTCTGTTTTTTCTAAAATCTAATATCATAATCTATTTCTCATTTTAAGTACATCTTAATTCATTTTATTTTCTATATTTTTTCAATATTTTTGAGGGAATTGTGTTGCTTCCCCGATGATAAAATTGAGAGGTTTACACATTGACACTACCTAGCATGCAACACGATAATATTAAAATTAAACAAATCTAATTTTCGAATAAAAACAATTTATTCAATTATTTACAGATAGATATTATTAGAAATCTACTATAGATACAATAAGTTGGCATCGCTAAACTTCAAAATGATCTCTCAAGCTTAAATTATGACGAAATCAATTCAAAAGTGATTGTAAATATCATTTTAGAAGAGAAAATAATAAGAACAACATCTCATTATCAGGAATATAAGGTATTTTAAACAGATATTCATGTCTAATTAAGGTTTTATTGAGAATTTTGATCAAATTTTTAAGGATAAATCAAAGTTTTTGGATTCGTAGTAAAGCAAAATAAAATATTTTTGTTTTCTAAAATAATTTTTAAGCAAACAATAGACAAAACAAACCTCAAAAAATCAAAATAAATTTAACCTTTCAAAACCACAAGAATTAGATATGTGTCTTAGCATTAAATACGTTTCTAAAAGCTCTTCTTGCAGTTCGATTGCTTAAACACTGTTCCTGAACTTGTTCATTAGTATATACGTATTCTTCTGCATTTACTTGTGGATAACGACTGAAAGGACATTGTCCTAATGGAGGAATAACAGGATTCGATGGTTTGAAGCCTTTTGTGGATTCTGGGGAAAATGTATCTTTATATACTGAATACATTAAAGATCTAGATGTAGAAGGAGGTTCTCTTACTCTTGGAGAGTTTGGATTGGTTTGTACATACGTATTATTCATTAAATGGTCTTCTTTCAGGATTCTTTTGTAAAGATAAGCTTGTCCTCGTGGACTGCTCTCGAAATCAGGAGCTTTGTCAATATATGGATAGTAGTTTGCGTTTGTATCACACCAATTGACTATTTCTCTGATAAAAGCGATATTTAATTCAGCAGTCGGTAAAATTCTCTCCATTGCTAATGGATTGAATAATTTTCGGCATTGAAACTCGATAATGTTTGTTTTTGGTTGTTGAACTCCTGCATATTTTGATGAATTTCCAAATATTCCTTGCTCCATGATTTGGGAGCGTCTTGTAACATCCATTTGCTTTCTTCTTGGAGATATTTGTGGGAAGCAGTGATTTACATCGATAACAGAGGTTGCTGTAGTAAGAACAAATTCAGGCTGAGGTTCCAGAACGCCTGTAACGAGTTTTGGTAGCTTCTTGATAGTCATTCCTCCCTTTAGAAGCGCGATAAGCTTTGATCTCTTCTTTTCATCGTGGATTAGAGCCCATGTTTTTACTGGTTTAATATAATTAGGATTAAATGATTGTTCTATTAATGATTCTATTTCCTGTGTCAATGGATGCTCTTTCTCCTGCAATAATATTGTTCTAAGATCAGCTTTTAGTGTATTCATTCCTTTACACGAAAAAAAAAATTGAAAAATCTCGTTGATAAGATTACAACAAACGAGATCCGATCAAAGCATCATTCTCATTTATCGTATTCGATAAAAAGAAGTTTTGTGTTGTTTAATCAGTATTACAGAGAAATATGCCAAAGTTGAAATCTTATTTGATCTCAATATTGACTTGAGATTCACAAAATCACAATTTCATTGAGAAAAATTGTTCATCCTATCTTAGTATACGATGTTTTTCAATAATTAATTTTGTTAATTCTATTTATACAATACCTTCATTAAAACCGCATTAGATATAGGTGTTATATGATTAAGTTTTCATGAAACTTTATTCGTAGTGGGATAGAAGTGTGTTATAGTACGTAACTCAGTGAAAGAATTAGAAAATGCCACTTTTTAAAAAGACGTTAAGGAATCAAATGAGCTCGAAACAAGAAATTGTGAACTCACATACAGAAGATATTTATTCGAATTGCATCAAGAGTTATATTTATGAAAAAAAAAAAAAAAAAAAAAAAAAAAAAAGGTAGTGGGGCCTCCAGGCACTTCGTGCCCTCTAGCCCTGAAGATGTTTAGTATAACTTTGTCCGGACAAGTAAGGGTCTAACGTCGCTACAGGAAAAGTTACGGGCGTTCCAAGGAAGTATACTTTGAGAAGCCTTTTCTCCATTTTAAAACAAGATAGGATGGTTATTTTACAAAACTGACAACACTTTGACCGAGTAGTTTTTTGTGCTGAACAAAAAGTGTCATATAAACATCTGTCAAAAACCGCTTTTTAACTTCACTTAAAATGCCACGTAAGCTACGTAAGAATATACGTAAGAGGAAGAGAGCATTGAAACATCCAATAGTAAAACTAACACCACAACAACAGTTGCAACAACAAATGATGAATGACCCCACTATGTTGCAACAAATGTCAAGCAACCCTATGCTTTTAAACCGAGTTATTGGTGCACAGAGTGGAGGTTTAAGAGCGGCACTTTTAGCGAAAATGGCAGGCTATGGTGGAGCTGCAGACGGAACAGCTTATAACCCTCAAAGTCAAATGAATTTGAGTTCACTCAAAAATCAAATAACAGATGTCAAAAAGTCAAACATAGACATACAGAAACAAATAAGTGAAAACGAAAAGAAACTAGAATATGACAGACACACAAAGAAACTAAATGAGTTAAACGTAGAGAAAAAGAAGAAAGAAGAACAACTGAAAGAACTAAGTACAGAGGAATATGCGAAAAAAGTGTCAGAAAAAGCAGCAGAAGTAGCAAAAATGGAACAAGATGTTATAAATTTGAAAAACCATACTACTCAATATAAAGTACTGAAAGATGAAGAAATAAAACAAAAAGCCCTGAAGACATATATGGATAGCGATGAGTATAAAAAAGAAGTTGAAGCAAATGTAAAGGCAGAAAAACTTTTACAGTTGCAAAACCAAACCGTACAGTATGAAAACTTAGCACAAGAAAGTAAAAATAACGACGCAGCCATGCAAAAGGCAATGAAAAGCGCAGAATATATAAAAGCTAATAATGACTGGTTAGATGCCCAAGCCAACGCTAAAGCAGCCCAACTTATAGGGTCAATAAGGACAAAAATACAAGCGGATGAAGACAGTTCAAATGAAGCTTTAATGAATGCTGACTTTAAGAACGCCTTCGAAGCTCTTCATAGTAAGGTGAAACTAGTGAACGACTTCTCATCTGGAAAGAAACTGAAGTCTGAAGGTTTCGACAACGAGTTAAGAGAAGTAGCACAAAATATGACGAAAATAACAGATGCAGCAACGAGACAGGCAGTTCAAAGTGCCTATGACGCCGTTAGAGCAACTGTTGTGGAAAGTCAAGAAAAAGAGTTACAACAGACCAAAACAGACCTAGTAAATGCTTTCTTAAAAACGAAAAGTCAGGTAGGACATTATGCTGCAGATGGAACATATGTGCCAGCTGGTGGAACTTATATACCAGCTGGTGGAACTTATATACTAGCTAGTGGAACTTATATACCACCAAACCCTCCAAGAGAAGCACCTGCACCAGGACTACCTAAAACATTTACATCGTCACATGGACACAGACACAGGCATGCACCAAAACCAACAGTTCAAAACACTGCACCAAAACCAACACAACAACCAACACAACAACCAACAGTTCAAAACACTGCACCACAACCAACAGTTCAAAACACTGCACCACAACCAACAGTTCAAAACACTGCACAGCAACAACCACAAACAGAGCAAGGACATAAAAGAAGTAGAGAACAAGGAAACCAAGAATTCTTAAAAATGCTTAAGGAAGACTATGGTTACCCAGATACTCTTGACTTTAGTGACAGATATAAAGAAGCTATTAGAAAGTTCAAGGAAGGAAATACTGACCCGAACCTATTTAGCTTTATGGTTCAGCACCAAATGGGATATAATTTCAAACCTGGAAAATACAAGCTCGCTAAGGGATATGATTTAATAGCATATCATCCAAATGACATGACTGAATTTACTCCGAGATATTTGGTGTCAGAGCTAAATGATAATTCAACTCTCTTCATGAAACGCGTAAAAAATAGAGACGGAACGAAAGAAGAAAGGTTTATGAGTCCGGATGACTTAGATAGGGAACTTTTTAAAAACGGTCTCGGAATATATGAAATGCCAGCAGATGAGGTACAAGAAACTCCACAGGAAGAAGTTCAGATACAACCAGACATGGAAGAAATAGTTCAGCAACAACAGCTAGAAGAGCCTGAAGGAAACGAACAAGTCCCTCCTTTGGAAACTAACTTCACAGAACTAGATGAAGATTTGGAACAGCCGAAAAATCTTGACCCTCAACAAGTGTATGCGGGGAATATGGAATCTTTCCAAGAGTCTAAGAAAAATTCGGCTGACATAGTAGAAGAATATCGAAAAATGTTCGCCGACATACAAAAGACTCCAACATCAGATGAAAATATTCAGCATAGAATGGAAGTACTGAAAGAAAATGTACGCAAATACAACAATCCTTTTTACTTACGACCATATAATGTTCAATCTTTGGCTGAACTCGGTGAAAATAAAAGGTTAAATTTCAACAAAACATATAGAAATGAAACATTGTTTAAAGTTCATTCAGAACCTAACCAATATGGAAACAAACCTACTTTTGTTTCTGCAGACTATGGAACTACAATGAGATGGGGTCATAAAGCTAATCCGGATAGGTGGTTCATAAACTTACAACCACAATTCCAAGAAGTTGTAGACGCAATGGAAGTGAATGGTGAACCAGATATAGCTGGTATTTTCAGCGCGGCTTTAATGCCATTGAAAGATATGAAACATGCAGATATTTTGAACCAGTATGAAATGAACATGGCTGATGGAAATATAACACCTGACGTTCTAGAACATTTATCTCAAAGAACTACACAGAACCATAAAGATGGTATATTTGGTGAAGAGTTTAGAAAGAAAGTTAGGGAGAGAGAAGGAAGAGAACCTATTGTACATGACCTTGCAAACGAAAGTTTGCAAAATGTCATAAAAACTTACTTTGCAGACAATGAACCGAGAAGGGATGAATATTTAAGAAAACTCAAATGGACAGTACCAAATGAAATGTTAGTATTGAAAAACATGTTCCTTGACAAAATAAAACCAACTACAGAAATAAATGACGCAAGACTGAAACATTAGGTAAAAGCTTTCCCATTCACAAAAGATATTATTGGTTACATGGAAAGAAAACCAGAATGGCTACAAAAACATATATTTGGAAACGAGCTTATTCCATATGGACAAGCTCTGTTTGAAGAGCTTGAACCGGAAACTCAGGAAAGAGTCATGCAAACAATACGCGAAGACTCAAATACAAACTATGACAAAATCTTTCTAGGATATAGGTTACCTGAGATGGGCGACCAGAGCCCAAAGGCAAAAAGGACATGGGAAATTTACAACATACTAGGTGAACATGAGGCAAAGATGCAACAACTTGAAGCAGAGGGCAAGTTACCAAAAGCGACACCAAAGAAGAAGAGTAGAACAAAGTGAAATAGTGAAGAAGTAACTTCATCTAGTGAAAGTAGTGGCAATGAAGGAAAAAGAAGAGTTAAAAACTCAGTCAGGAAGAAAGTAAAGCTTGGTCCGAGTGGGTTCTATTATGACACATAAATCCAACTATTCTATATTTTTACCCATATGAAATGTACGCCGCTCAGAATATAACGCCAACAGTTTTGGATGCCATGAACGGAAATGTTTCCGAATGGTATAACGAATGCGACAATGCCATTAGAAGGTCAGAAATAGTTCCTGGAACTTACGAATATACAACTGCTGTTTCTTATGGAAACGTAGGTGAGTTTGGAGAAGGTTCTTCAACAACAGTAGATATTGCTTGCGACAGGTTTCATATTATTTCTATTGACAACTCATTCTTATACGTGGAACAAGACATTGAAATAAAACCTTCTGCCAAGTTGTCTGACAAGAAAGGTTGCAATGGAATTTTCTATGTCGGATACCAATATGCTCCAGAAGTTTTCATGGGATATAAGATATATTCTAACTCTGACTTAGTTCAAACAGTAACATGGGCAAACTATGAATGGTTCGCTTTGAGAAACTCAGTACAACCACAAGCTAGAGAACAAACAGACCAGTATGCAAATATTGAGAAAATAAGAAGACTTGACCCTAACGTTCCAGGAGTTTATGTTAACCTTTCTGGTTCAGATGGAACTGCTGCCACTAAAGTAAAACTGAAACTTAGAGTTCCTTTGTCATCTTTCCTCATCTTCAGGTTTTTAAGATACTTGCCAAACTGGGCAGGAAAAATTTCTATCGAACTTACTCCAAGCAAAAATAACTTAGTCATTGCACCAACACAAGACCCATTCACTATTACAGACGTAAAGGGAACAAATCAAACGTCATTCGCCGAATTTTGCAAAGACAAAGTTGACTTAGACTTTGGTTTCTCAAACTTCAACAATGAAGTAAACTATTATTTCAATGCTGCTGGAACTGCTTGGGACCCAGTTAAGTTTACATGCGAAAAATTTGAATGCAAGAGAATAGAAAGCAGACTTGCAGTCTATATGTTGGACCCAGATATTTCAAATGCTTTAGCTGCCAAATATATTGCAGTTCCACTTATGTTCCCTATACACCAAATATCTGTCAAAGACTTTGCAGGTGAAGTTGGAAACCAAAGTGCTGACCCAGGTGCAAGAACAGATATTGCTTTAACAACTGCAATGAAACATGCAGATACTATGTTTGTACTGTTCAGACGAACTATAAATGACTATTCTTGTTTCTACAACCCCGGTATTAAATATCATATAAACATAGATGGCAAATATTATCCAAGAGAAGAATATTCTACAGTTGAGGATATGAGGTCATACAACTTGACATTAGATGCTATGAACTTTAACAACAACTTCACAACAACCATTAACCCTGAAATGCAAAGTTCTATTATGCCATATGTGAAAGTATGGACTCATACAGGAGGTCAAAAAACTCAATACAAATGGAGACCGTTCAAACTTTTGGCTTGGCATTCCATTTGCTGACTCAGAAGACTTTATGGGTGGTATTTCAACTGTTGGTACTGTACAAATACAATATACTGGTGACAGAGACGGTCCAGATGAATTGAAAGCAAAGAAGTTTACAAAACCAATAGCACTTTTCACGGAAGATGCTCTTTTGAAGATTCGTTCGATGAAACCTGCTGGGGCTCCTCAGATTGGCATAACGACAGCTTCCATCGAGCAGATTTTGGCAGCAGGTCAGTAAGTTGTTCTTGAACTGACTTCTCTCCGTCAAATATTGACAGTACGCCAGTTTTGACATAATATTGTATTATAAACTTTCCTTTAGAAATATCTGTAAGTTTTGAAGTTATATTTTTGTCTGCTTCAAGAACTTTCACCATTTCAGTTATACCAACTTTCTTTGCTTTATGAAAATATTTTGGTTCAGCAAAGACTGCTATTCTATAACATTTACCATTGTTTGTATAAAGAACTATTCTGTCAATGTATTTGTATTGTTTGTGTGTGTGAACTTTGTTCTGCTTCAATTCGAAGAGATACTCGAATACGTCCATCTTTTTATTCTAAGTAAAATGTCATTTCCGAAAAATAGAAGCGTAAGTGTTTTCAAAAGGTTTAATGGCGGTGGCAGATGTGAAGTTAAATTCACCAACTCAAACAAACAGTCAAAGTGTTATTGTCAATGTCAAAGACAGAGATGTTGAAGTGGGGAAACCATACGAGGACGAAGATGGTATAACAATTGTTCCTGTAAAAGAACAACCAACATATCCTGAAGTTAGCAGAGACTTAAGTTCTGTTGCAGATATTCGAAACGACTACCAACAACTGAAAGACAAACTTCAAACTCAGGAGAAGATTTGTCAAGCTTTAAGTATAATGTTAAACTTGGTCGAACACAACCCTGTAAAAGTGAACTCATATGTCATTGCACCTCATGAAGTTTTGAAAGAACTATTGAAACTTTTGACAGAGGCAGACGATATAAACATCAAAGAAATAGAACCCGACATTAGTTGCTGTGGTGTTTCATATAATGTCATTGACAAGATATACGTTATGAAAGGAGGTGAAACGTTGAACTTAAAGTATAGTTTCCCAGACGTCATAAAAATATTTGACGACCACAACATTTCATTAAAATTTATTTGCTAAGTAAATGGCAGAAGATATAATGGTTTATACTATTACGACTAAAAACCCCGAGTCATATAATTCTATAACAACAAACTTACAAAGTCCTCAAGGACGATATTGTAAACTAACCTTAAACACAATGACGACTAAAGCCTGTTTTGCTCTTTTGACACCAGAAGACTTTATTGTTGTGAATGGTAAAAAATACTCCTTTGAAGATACTTACTCAGATATACCACCAACAGGTTTTGTTGACTTATTTAATACTTTAAGTACAGGTGTAACATGTGCTGCAACTAGAGCAGGTTTCATTATGTTTGGATGTCCGACTGAGTTTACTATAAACGATATGAGCTATAATACAAAACTTATTTCTGGTTTTTACTACCAACAGTTTCCTATAACAGGAAAAGGTGTCATACAAGGAATGTCTATTCCATTGACATTAAGCACACCAATCTTATATATTGTTTCAAACTTAGGTTCAAAGTGTTATTCGAATGTCGACAGAAACTATTATGACCAAAAGATACTTATGCGTATAAACAATACTTTCTCTGCTGGTTTGCCTATTGTTCATTCGAATGCAGAATTTTCAACCTTAGTGAACTCAAACACTTTGGCAAGTATAACGTTGACATTAGTTGACGCAAACTTTGTTCCTGTAAAACTTTTATGTCCTATGTATTTGTCAATGACGGCAGAAAGTTTCGAATTGGAAGATGCAACTGGTGAAAGTATTGTATTACAAGAACAACTTCAACAACAAATAGCTCAAGAAACAACAAATGCAACAACAAAGTCAAGAATAAAAAATATTTTTTTTTATTTTTATAAAAATGTACAGAATAGATGTTTCAGATTTTTATGACTTCCAAGCATTCAGAAATATGTGTCCATTTAGAGACTATAACAATGCAGTCGAGAATTTGAAACGTTTAGTCATTTATGTTGACTCTGCCCCAGAATGTTATGTCATGAAAGAATGGGATGTTGTCTTTAACAAACCAAGAGCAACAATAGTGTCTGAACAAGAATGTAGACAGAAACTTAAGAAAATAAAAGTTGTACAAGTTGGCATGAAGATATTAGATGCTTGGGATATCTTATTGTCAAAAGTTAGAAGATTTTTCAGTTCGAGGTATAAAGTTCTATACACCTTCTCCAAACTTCTATTCTATCTTCACTGGATATAAATACGAACAAGTAGAATGGAAAGAAAATATTATAGAAGCTTGGTTAGACCATGTCAAAGAAATTATATGCAATGGAAACGAAAGAGTCTATGAGTATATCTTATGTTGGTTTGCAAACATCTTACAACATCCAAGTGCTAAAAATGAAACTGCTCTCATTATAATGGAAAACAAGGAACTGGTAAAACACATTCTTTACAGATATTTTGTGCAAACTGTTAGAAGGTTATTCGAACCCGAATATGACAAACTTAGAAAACATCTGTGGCAAGTTTAACTCCTCAATAGAGAATATGAAACTTATAGTTTGCAATGAACTTCAAAGTATAGATACAACAAAAGTTTTGAACTCAGATGCTTTGAAGAGTCTTAAACAGACAAAGTTGGAGTTGTTGAAAGAAAATATAAAGACCAAAGAGTTTGTGAAAATGTTGCAAACTTCATTATGGTTTCAAACAATGCTGTTCCGATGAAATTAGAAAGTTCTGACAGAAGATATGTAGTTGTCAGAAACGTCAGATTCTCATATGCAAGATACAGAATATTTTGACGACTTAGCAGAAACTTTGACATCTGACTTTTACAACCACTTGTTTCTCATATTTTATGACATTAGATATTTCAAAGTTCAATCCAAGACAAATTCCACATACCGAAGAGAGACAAACATTGTTAGAAGCAAACAAGAGTGTATATGAACTGTTCATAGATGAAACTGACTTTGTGTCATTAGATGAAAGGTCATTGTACGATTCGTATAAACAATATTGTCAAGAATATGGTTATATGACAGCTTCTAAACGAACATTCTTGGCAAATGTCAAAAGTCTTTTAGATGTTCAGAATGGTGTATATACAAAGAAAAATTTTTCTGAGTAAATTTAAAACAAAAATATTTTTTTTATCCGATAGAAAAGATGGCAAAATTCATCTCAGTAAACAAGTACATGTCAGGACTTAAAGAAGAACTAGACCCATTCACATATTTGAATGTTTACTTCTACCATTTTGAAAAGTCTTCATTCAGCAAAGTTTGGAACATCGAACCAGTTAAGTTTGCTATTGTGACTAAAAATGGTGCGAAATTTGAAGACTTAGACATAGAAGGTTTGTTAGCAGTCAAAGAAAGTTTTGACAGAAGGTTTTCAAACCTTAAAGAAGGCAAAGCATACAAACTTGTTATACCTTATGAACCAAAGAAAGCAGACGACTATGAATATTATGAGTCTAAAGTTGTAGAAGTTCAAGGTAAATTGGGTAAAAAGATTTTAGAGTCTAAGCCAGTGTTTGCTCCTAAAGAGGAAGAGAACATTGACATTGACCCAGAAATGTTCTAAAAATAAAATTTTATTTTTACATGTCAAATTTCTTTTTCTCTGGAACTGGTTCAGGTTCTTTCTTCTCTTCTTCTACTTTCTTTTCTTTCTTTTCTTTCTTCTTCTTTTCTGGTGGAGTTATGTCAAATTTGGGCGCAACCATATTTATGTAAAAGTTCTTTGTCCTTTAATAGCTCTTCTATTCTGTTTTCTATTTCATCTTCAAGAACAGCGCATGTGTCTTCTTTGCATTCTAAGAACTTTTGTTGGACTTCATCTTTCCAATCGGTGTCATCTCTGTCAACAAGTCTGTCATTGACAAATTTTAAGACTGCTCTTTGTAATGTTTTATGGTTCTTGTCATATTCCCAGAAACAGAACTTTAGAACAAATTCACCTTTCTTGTTTACACTATGTAAGATTTTATGGTCGACAGATGTTTTGCTGTCGAAAAGCTTGTCTCGAATATAGATAGCGAAATCGCTAGACATTTTCTAAAAGATAAAAATTTTAATTTTTCTAAAAATATGTTAGAAAAAAAGTTTGCTGACATTGACAAGAAATTTGAGAATGTTTTAAACAAGAACAAGAGGAAGTTAGAAAATGCTCAGATAAAGCCTATACATGACAAGTTCTTATTTGCTCAGAATGGTATAACAGGTCTAATTGCACCACCTGGGTCGGGTAAGACTTTCACTTATCTTAAAATGGCTGCACAACAACAAGAACTAGATGAGAAGAACCCATTCTATGAGTTAGTAGTCATTTGTAGTACTTCTGGTCAATTTGACCAAACCGTCAATTCGTTCAAAGATATTATAAAGAAGTCTAAGTTAGTATGTATAAAGGATACTGAGTTGTTAGATTGGATAAAGAAGTACCAAAGAAGAGTTTTGAAGTATAATGCTATAAATGCGTATCTAAATTCTAAGTTTAAAGACCCAAATGAGGAAATGCAGAGAATATTAGAGAAGAAACACTTCAGAAACAAACAGAAAGAGATAGAATACATTTCGAAGAAATTGCAATCTTACGATTGGAAGACTTACCCTCATAGATGTCTTCTTATCTTAGATGACTTTGCTTCTCATCCTTTGTTAAAGAACAGAGAACAAGACATGTGTCGAATTCTTAAGAAGCTCAGACACTTTAACATCTCAGTTGTCATTTGTGTACAGACAGCAAAGAGTTTAAGTAAGGATGTTAAAAGAATACTTACTGACATTGTACTTTTCCCCGGATTGTCCGAAGACGATTTCATGGAACTTATGAAAGAGTCCATG